TCCTTTGAAGTCTTTGACCCTATCACATAAGGTTCCTCCCAAGAAACCTCCAGTTTCTTTTTAGATCTTGGGATCTTCACACCTCTCTCCTTGCAAGCCTCATGCTGAGGAGGACAAAGCACTGATTGGGCTTTCCTCTTATGGATCACAAATGGGCTGCCACACCCTCCTGCTGAGAGGAGGGGCAGCCCCTTCCCCGCCTAGCCCCACCCAATGTGTGCCCTCTCTCCCTCTTGGCCCAGCCCAGCTCTCCTGGCCTTCCCACAATGCAGCCCCATGGCAAAAAAGTTTGCCTGTGCCTGGCCTACACCTCATTTGCCTTGAGGCCACCAAATGCATTAATGAATGGCTGTGCTACGCAGGGAGGCATTCAAATATATATGAAATATGGTATACAAAATTGTTGAGAAAGGCGATACTGTTGGTGCTGATGTTTATGTCTTTTAAAAAAGCTTTTCTTTGTATTCTTCTTTCAGCTAAGCCAAAGAAGATTGCACAACAGGAAAACATTTTGAAACTGGACAATGTTAGCCTCTGTTATTGAAATGTTAAGTAATTTCAAGATAGCTTCTTGGTCTTAAAGAATAAAACTAAATTGTGCAATTGGTTTAGAAGCAACAGAGCATGGATAAGTATGAGTGTATAGTAGTTTAATGTGAAGCGCAGTGGGACTTCAGTACCTGGTTTGTTGCAGGCCAAGAAAACAATAGACAGGCTTAGGGGCTACTAACAACTAGGTTATGAAACTGATGATCAGATGAATAGATATGCGTAGGAATTTCAAGCCCAGCAGGATTTCATTGCTGATCACTACATGTATTGATCTTACTTTAATTGATATTTTAGGTGTTCCTTTGTCCTACAATGTGGCAGGCCCAAATGCCATATTACATTTTTCCTAAAAATATTGTTGCCAGCAGGAATACCATTCCCATTTTGACCAAATTTCTGTACACTGCTTTGTTAAGTGATTTCAGCTCTGCTAAAACTGTGGGGTTCAAGGGCCCCAGCACACCTAGCTTCACAGAAGGCCAGGAGTTCATCAGATATCATCGCTGATGACTCTTTGTATGGCAAGATATTAGAGCATTTTGTTGTGTTTTCCTCTTCTGCCTGTGAGGAAAGTGGGAAGAAGAGAAAGCTGAAGAGGAAGGGGCTTAGGATTCTGGACAGGTGGTCAGGCCTGCTCAGGAAGAAGAAGAAGAAGAAGAAGAAGAAGAAGAAGAAGAAGAAGAAGAAGAGGAAGGAGGCATGCTGGTTGTGCCTACTTTTCAAGAACACTGAAGGGAGCAACAAGCAGGGCATAGATCAACTGCTTTCGCTGAGAAGTCTTGCAGAAATCAGACCACTCCCTAGAGACACATGTGCTGTGGGCTGAGGACTATAAATCAGGGGCAGGGGAAACAGCTGTCACTGACAGCAACTGACCCATTTACCTAATCTTTGTTATTGTATCTGTCCCAGTGTTTCTGCCTTTAGAAGAAACTACCAGATACTTTACTTTGCTCAACCTAGAGACTTTTACCTTGTTTCTTGAACTTGGTTTTGTGTATTTGATTTTGCTACTTTAAACATTGCTGAAGTAAAGCTTTTTGAGTTCCTTTAAACTTGGTGTTAAGGCTATTCTTGAAGCAAAACAGGACACATTTGAAATGTCAGTCTGTCTATTGATCCACCTCTGAGAGGGGCGTGATCAGAACAAAATGCACTGCGGCACTGGGAAATGACTCCAAGATTGCCTTAATAGGTTGGCTCTAGTTAACACAGTCAAGTTAGTCCAATGTACACAATAGATACTTATTTTTTATTTGCTTTATTTTTATACCGCATTTTTCAGCCTAATTCGGCGACTCAATGCGGTTGGGGATAATGACCATTTCAATTGCTGAGGGTAGTTTTCCCACAGACAATCCTGATCTTATCAATGGGAGCAGGAAGTAGACCTAGGAACTGTGACACACCTTCATTGAATGCTTTCCACCATGTCTTCCAGTTCATTGTAAGGAGATTAGGTGTGATCAGACATAATTCCAAAGACAATTATATTTACTATCACTACATTGTGTTTTTTCTGTTGTAAGATGCCCCGAGTCCTTTTGTGGAGAGAGAGTGGTATATAAACAAAGGTTATTATTACAAAAGGTTAATTTAAGAAAAGATGTGAATGCTTGTTGTGTCCTGGTGGCTTCTCTTTGTATTCTTCTATGGTATTTCATAATTTAGGGTCTGATATCCTGATATCAGCTTCATAGTAGTAAAGTAATGTCTGCTGATGGAATTGCATTGTGTAATTAATATGCTGAATGCTATCATAGTGTTGAAGTACTTCGAAGATGCTGAAGATGAAGTACTTTTGTTGAAGATGAAGTACTTTGGCCACATCATGAGAAGAAAGGAAAGCTTAGAGAAGACAATTTTGCTGGGGAAAAAGGAAGGAAAAAGGAAGAGGGGCCAACCAAGGGCAAGATGAATGGATGGTATCCTTGAAGTGACTGGATTGATCTTGAAGGAGCTGGGAGTGGTGACGACTGACAGGGAGCTCTGGCGTGGGCTGGTCCATGAAGTCACAAAGAGTTGGAAACAACTGAATGAATGAACAACAACAACATCATAGTGTAATGTATGTGGAGCAATGGCCAATGTGCATGACTGACAGCTCACTACACAATTGCAATTGCTTGAGAAAATGCAATCCATAAAGTCAATATCATTTGTGCAATGGCACACATGAAAATCTTGATGCATGAACTGGATATGACCATTATGCACCCCCCCCCACACACACACACAATTTGTGTAAGCATCACATTCAACACATGGGTATGTTACTAACAGGTTGCCAGACATGATCTCTGTATAAGGATGTTCTTTTGGCTCTTAAGCTCTACTTCATTTAATAACCAAGGGGTACAGTTATGATTATTACTAAATATGGAAGTAAGCAACTACATGTATGCTATTTCATTTTTACTACATTCCAGCATCTCAATTGTATTACTTTATCTTTAACACAATACTAAATAAACTAAAGCATAACCATACAGTCTTCCTTCACATACTCTTTCTTGGTGCTTAGGTATCCAGCCTAGTCAAATCCTAATCCTATCTGACACTCTCTTCCTTATTCTAACCACGTCATCTAAAAAGCTCATCTTATTCTCATTTTCCTAGCCAATCATCATCCATATGCAAATGAATCTACTCAACACTGGGCACAAGTTCCTTAATATTCATACACTCTCCTAACCATGCTTACCATCTTATAGCATGCTACAGTAAAATATATAAGTGCAAACTATTCTTAGATGGGTGATGCCACAGATTAGCATTTCCTTACACAAATATCCACTTTGCACCTCATAAGACTAGCCACAGAAGAAAGGGCAACTTGGTTTTAAAACTCATACCTTTCCAAGGGTTGTGTACTGGGAGATTGACAAATAAATAAAGAAATAAATAATATTGGAAAAAAATGTTACACATTATTTAAAAATGTACATCTAAAATTCAGATATTTGAGAAAGGCAACAAGATGTTTTCATGTCTGAAAATGTGCATACATCAAAACGTACAAAAATATGTATCTTTTGGAGAAAATGCATCTAAAATGCACTTAAATGCAAAATATGTAAGAATGTCTAAAAATAAAAATCGTGCAATCTGATACAGGGATGAGATGGGAATGCTGATGGACTCCTGAGAAATGTAAGAAAAATAAGAGGAAGAGATTTTCAAATCTATACTGATGGGAAGAACAAAAGTCTACTATATATGTGTTAGCAGTAACATTCAATAATGGGAGCAAGCATGTGATGCATTAATGAAATAAACAGTACCATCTCTATTTCTAAAGATGTACATGAATGCATTGTTTCACAGTTCCATTGTTTAATTGCTGCATTGTTTGGGGTTTAAAAGACTTTTTTTCTGTTTTGTTCAAACAAGACTCATCTTATTATGCATTCATTAGAATGATACTGGATTTGTAATTTACATTTATTGCTGTTTTCACACGCTGTGCTGTTGCCACCGCACATGGCAAAAGCAGACATTATTTCAGCAGCTGCTCCCAGTACATGGCATGTAATTTTCCCCACGTGATCACTCAATTGCATTATTCCTGGATACTTTTGGCAATTAAAATAGCCAAAAGTGCTATTTGCTCCCTTGAAGTGTCCTCTAATTTGCTGCATATACAGGATATTCTGGGAAAAGATCTGGAACAGTTATCAAAACCGATTCTGTTGCCAAATGTGAATAGAACTGAATATAAGCAATGAAAACATATACATTTGTACTGTTCAATTTTTCAATTTAATACTGAATTGGAATAAATAGAAATTGGTTCTATTTGGTTACATTTTTTTTTCATTTGTAGGCCTATTGAAAATTGGGCAAGCAGAGTCACATAGGAGTAAACGGGCAGCCAATGTAACATGGATGAAGAATAGTAACACCACAATGTTATGATTTAAAGCGCATAGGCTTGGTTCAACATGAGGTAATGACTCCAGGTATTGGATTCAGCATCTGCTATACAATGGGAACCTGCACCCCACCAGCCTGCTGAAGAATAGCCAAATATGGAACCTATATGGATGCAGGCTAATGTGAGCTTTCCTTGCTGTCCGAGGCAGAGAACCTAATGGTATCCACCAGGCTCCAAAGTAAGGTGGTTTCAATACCAGCTAAGTTTTCTTTTTCATTCATGGGCAAAAAAA